CCAGCCGCGGCTATAGCAAAGGCCCATTGGTAGAGAAAATTGGAATAATCAGCAGTGGCCGTGGGGATATCTTTGAGACCAAAGTAGTGTTTACCAATGAAACCATTGGACGGAGATCCAAAGGCAAAAGCATAGCCAAATAGATAGTAAAAGAGACCTCCGGCCGCAGCATCAAGAACGTTGGTAAGCATGATGTTCATCGTATTCTTAGCTCTTACGGAACCGGCACAGAGCATAGCGAAGCCAAGCTGCATAGAGAAGACAAGGTAAGCGGAGAAGAGGAGGTAAGTGGTGTCTATGGCGAAAGCGGCGTCGATGAACTTGCTGTCGACGACGCTTAGCTGGCCACAGATGTAGTTGGCAGCCTCCGTGGCATTAGGACCTAACAAGACCGAGAGATCGGTCGCGTTGCAAGACATGTTGAGAGATTAGAGAAGAAGAAGAAACAGAGAGGCTGAGAAAGAAAGTGTGTTGTTCTCTGTTTATATAAAAGGAGGAGAGCTAAAGGGGCCTAGGCTAGGGTTGACTTTTCAAATTACAGCGTGACGAAATTTCGTATTGTATAACGCAAATTGCCAAAGTCTTTGAGTTTTGTTTGTTACATGTGAATCAGGAAAAAGAATGTAAATAGTATTCATCTAATAAATCGGTGAAGATAAGATCTGTGTGTTCGGAAAAAAATATTCTATCACATCCAAATAATAACATAAAAATAAAAATAGAAAATATATATATGTAAATGTAACTGTTTGGATTTTGTAGTTTATTTGTTTTGAAGTTGATATTTCTCATCTCTTATGAACATAGTAAAAGTTTATTTGACCAGATATTATTTTTGTTTGCAAAAAGTCTTAGATTTAAGTATATAAATATGTCTCTTCTAAAAGATATTTAAGTTATAAATTTCGTACTTTGATAAAAAGAATTTTGCATTTCAAATATATCGAACTCACTAATATAAAATAGTAATATAAATCAATGATATATCGATCAAGTTGTTGGTGGTATATCTTAAATATTTTGAATTAAATTGATCATAATATTATTGCTCTGTAGTTTATATGCGTTGTAGTTGCATTTCCATCCATGGCGAACCCAGAGCATAAGCAACACAAACCAAAGATTAGGGTTCAAAATTTTATAAATCACTTGAAAAATTAAAATAAAATAAAATTTAGTACTGATTTTTTTTTTTACGTATAATATTAATAAGATGAAATTTAGACTTATTTTTTCTAATTTAGTTTTGTTGATTAATATTTATGTTTGATGTTACTATTGAACTTCTCCTATTTCTTTCGTTTATAAGTTTATAACATTCAAACTTTTTAATTTTGAGTACGGATCTCGATAACGTTGAACCGGTGCATATAACTCCAACCACACACAAGCTTTCTTGACTTATAGTTATAGCCTATAGGATACGTCGTAGTGCATTTAACCCAACCACTACTTATAAGAATATTGAAGCACAACTGATGGTTTTGTTTTGGGCAATCGAAAGTATGAAGAGTCACAAAATAGACAATGTGGTCTTTGCTCTTCAATCTACGGATCTGGTTGGTGCGGTGAATAGGCCAAAGGCGTGGCCATCTCTTAGATATCATTCCTCTGAAATTCTTGAGAGGGTAAGACATTTTTTGAAGTGGAAAGTGGTAAGGGAGACAAATCTTTCAAATAGAGGTGCTAATCTAATCTCTCAAAGTGTCACCAATGATATGAGACTTCAATCTTATGTAGCCTTAGGATATCCAAGATGGCTCAGTGGACTGTTTGAAGAAGAAAGAGTTCAAGCATCTATTTGACTGATTTGTTTTACCCTTGTGACTCAATTAGTGCAGTCATTTTTTTTGTATAAGCCCTTTATTCATTAAAGTGGCTAGAGTAAGGTTAAGTGGTTCTAAAGTTCTGTTATATGAAGTTGTAGTAGAGAATGTTGGTTTGTAACAGGTTTCCACTTTTGATATATATACTACCAGATGACCAAAAAAAAAAAAGTTAGTAAGCAAATATTGACTAGAGAATCTGCATCTTCGGGTTTGGACTATTCCACCACTAACCGTGAAAAGATGATAATCGTGCATAGTGGGACCAGCTCAAATATTCTTTTTAATATTTTGAGTGTTCACACGAAAACTTATTACTCGATGGCTCGTTTTTTTTTATTATTGCTTAAATCGTTTTCTTTATAATCCCATTTCTTACCTTATTTACATTTGAATCTTTTTAGTCCTTTTCATATGGCTTTCTTATGCTTTGATTTGTCTTTTTTGATCATTGTTGTTTAATTTCACTTAGTTCTACTAGAAAAACCCGAAAACAATCTATTTACTTAGCTTAAATAACTATATGCATTATTATATTTAATCTTTATTTTATGTGGTTCGAGCCATAAGCTTAATTATTACGATGACACGCCATATACTCGTGGTTGAGTGTGACTGAGGTTTTAAAACTTCGATATATATATATTCTAGCGAAAAAAGAAGACGACTAAAATGAAAAATGAAAGAAAGAATAACTGATGACATTATAAAATACGACAGAGGGATGTTGTAGCCAATAAAATCAACTTAAGAGATGTTGACCTCACAATCCTTACGTAAGAGGGAATATTATCTTATATGAAATAATGAAACTAGAAGTTACATTTCTCTTTTTAATTGACAAATAAAAAATAAAGTCAACATCCCTTCGAATCTTTTTGCTTCCAAAATAAGCTGTTTTCTGTTTTGAAATTATTGCTTATATAGAAGTCATCATCAAGAATAGCATCTGAGACTTTTGGTCTGAAAACCTAAAATCGACAATTGATATTATGTAACTTTTTTTTTTTTTTTGGGTGATTACTGATTATAATCATTTCATATCCTCCTAAGGAATGGGCTAATACTACTAGTCATAGGCTTCTTCACCTTATTGGGTTCAACTATATTGTGTAATGGGTTTTAACTATAACTAGGATTCAACCCGCGGTTCACCGCGGACATCGGTTTTATGCAGTTTTCCTATTAAGTATTTGATAATGTTCTATATACACAATTTATAAAATATGTTTTTTTTGTTTTGTTTGTTGTTAAATTTTAATTAGGAGAAGGGGTTTTAATGTGGTTAAACATGTGTATTATTTTATATATTTTATATATCTGTATCAAAATTTAATATCGTATAACCTTTTTGATTATGGATATATCAAATTTCTAATATATTTATTAAGTTTTTTATTCAACCCACGGTACATCGCGGGTATCGATTTTATTTGGTTTTCATATTATATATTAAATAATGTATACTTTATAATTTTATAAAAGTGTTTATATGTTTTTTACAGTTAACTGAATCAAAAACATTTTGATTTTTGTTAAGTAGAGAGAAGAGAATGTTTAGATCTCTTTGGGGTAGATCGCTTCCTCTCTATCTTACAACCATATAACCTAATACTCTTCTTAATAAACGAAACCCATTAACACATATGGGCCCTAATTACTTATATGGCCCAATGGCCTTTTCTTCTTTCTTCTTCTTCCTCCTCCTTCTACGACAAAACACTTGTTCTTCTCTTCACCTTATGCTTCATACGATTCTTCTCCTTTCATCATCATCTTCATCTTCTCACACTTCTCTTTGTCTTTTCTCTTATGTAGGATTAAGTTATGAATCAACATCCAACACTCCCTCTTGATTCATTTGCTTTATCCCCAAATTTTGATTTAGGGATTTGATTCCCTTGCTCTTTGTTCTTCTTCTGGTGATTCGCCTCCTCACTATGCAAATCCCTTTCACGAAATTGGCACAACTCACTGGTGAGTTCGCTTTCTCCCTCAACGCTTCATTCTTCACAAGATTTTCAATTTGCTTCGGAATCGTCACTTTCCGATTTTTATTTTGCTCTGATTATGCTTGATCTTAACTGAGCCTTGACTTTCTTGTTCCTGCAGATGAGTTTGTGCACAATCTCTGTATCCCATCTCCCTTTTGCTCTTCTTCATCTCCTCTTGAATCAATTTTCCTTAATCGATTCTCAGCCTCTTTTCTTTTCTTTGCCGATCACCTGTCTGCAATATTTTGTCTGCAATGTGCTTGCAAGAAATAAGAAAGACGTTTGATATTTATAGTGAAGTAGAATGTTAGGGTTTTTGGCTTTAAAAGTTTAGAAAATCTTGGAGAGAAAGCACAAAATATTGGATACATTAACTATCATATCTTTTTGATTGACATCAAATGAATGATACACGATTTTAGGAAAAATAAAGATATTGTGTTGTAGTTTATGGTTAAGATTATATTAGATCAAATATTTAAGAAATTTAGTTAGCAATTAGGGAGGTATAGAGAATATCTTATAATTTAATTCGAATATGCCTTTAATTATATACCATATATGTTGAATGGTTAGGATCGAATAATTGTTTTTTGAAGCTGTTAAACCCGATTAGTGATTCGTTTTATGTATTAGGTAATATTTGATCCACTAACCACCCGATTAGAAACACGCTGATCCCCTAATCGTTTAATAAGATTTAATGACCAAATTACCCTTGACGATTTTGATCAACAATGTACAAAATCTAAAATTGAAATTGAAATTGAGGCCAAATTAGACTATTTTTCAATTTGTACTTCCCTTTTAATAATAAGGGGATGAGATATGTAATCACATTGAACTTTTTGCCAGCAATTTAAATTAATGCACTCAATCAACAAATTGTTTTTATCACTCAAATGGAAATTTTCTGTCTCGCATTATATAGACAAAATCTGCTTACATAATCACAGCTAAGATTTTGAATTAATCTTTGGCATTTTTCTAAGGAAAATAAAGGTTTCACATTCTAGTAACCGTTGGTAGCCTTCTCAACTATTGAATCTAAGTATATGGCTCTAACTAAGGTTTGTGTGATGATTGTGTAAAGATTCTAAGTGGACTCTCAAAGTACTCTAGCTGACTACCTCTGTCTAAGAATAATGTGTCTCACGAAAGAACCAAACATATAATGTGACTACCTGGTATCGGTCGACACTAACAAAATCATGCGACCTGTGTCGATCAATACCACCACTTTGTGTCGATCGATACCACCACCTTGGTGTCGATCGACACCACTCCAGGTCCTTCACGAACAACACGTTATATGGTTTTTACAAGGTTTATATGGTTTTTACAAGGTATTATATATTTATATGGTTTTATATGGTTTTTACAAGGTTTAATACCTTTACTAATGTTTTTATTAGGTTTTTATAAGGCTTTTACATGGTATTTATATGGTTTTTATATGGTTTTTACAAGGTATTATATATTTATATGGTTTTATATGGTTTTTATATGGTTTTTACAAGGTTTAATACCTTTACTAATGTTTTTATTAGGTTTTTATAAGGCTTTTACATGGTATTTATATGGTTTTTATATGGTTTTTACATGCCAAACTGGCTCCGCAATTCCTTAGTATCGATCGATACCAACACCTGGTATCGGTCGACACTAACAAAATCTGCGACGCTCTGACGGACCTGTGTCGATCGATACCACCCCTTGGTGTCGATCGACACCACTCCAGGTCCTTCACGAACATATGATCATTAAGGGCAGTTTTGTCCTTTTGCAGTCTTATTAGGGGTATTTTTAAAAATGGACATATGAAAGGGGTATTTTTGATTAATGTATGGTTGAAGGGGTATTTTTGCAAATACCCCTTTATTATAAACAATTTTGAATATAACATATGTTATATATAGCGTATGATAGACGTTAGATATAATTAACCGAAAATAGTCGTTAGATACATATAACTTACCCGCATAATTTTTTTAAAATCCGTTACCTATTGAAATTTGTTAGGTATATAAGATTGGTAACTAATTCACTGTAAATTTATAAAAAGGTCAAATTATTTAGCTAGTTTATGTAACAACTTAAAATATGGGATAGAACACAAGAGGTGATTGTGAAGTTTATAAGAGACTCAAAGCATGAGAATTAACTCTCTTACTAGCCACAAATCAAAATATTTAAGAGATAACATAAACTTTGTGAAATTTTATTTAGAGGTGGTTAGAAAGTGTGGATAAGATAAAAATCGAAAGTAAAATCTTTGGGAGTGCATCAACCAGTGCTTGTCCCGCATCTATATAAACTGGACTCTTCCATTGTTGAGTTTCATCCAATGTTTTTTGTTATTTCTTAGTGAGGACCATTTTTTTTTCGTTCGTTAGAGAGTTTGAGTTTTGGTTTTTCTTTTAAAAAGATTCTACAATCGCTATGGGTTCAGAGAGTGATGTGAATGAAATCAACCAAGTCGTTGAACCAGTTGGTGATGATGATTGTGTGGTTTGCCTCGAGCCTTTGGCTAACGAGGCTGATGCACGAACTCTTGTTACGCTTAGGTGTAGCCACCAGTTTCATTTAGGTGAGTTTTTGTTTTTGTTTGTGAAAGAGCACCAAATATATATTTTTAAATGGAACTTCGTTATGAGAAAAATAGATCCCTATTTGTTGATTTGAATAAATGTTAAACCACCTCCGTTTTAGATTTTTTTGCAAGTTTTTAGTTTCGAAAGTCTTGTATATATTATATTTGTTTTGGTTTGTAGTATTTTCTTGTGATATATATTTTTGAAGATGGAGATTCTGGATCAGCACGTTGTGCAGAGAACAGCTCGCTGTCTGGATCAGGAAGCTGCATCAGATCACATCAGCCTGAGGTACTGACATGGAAGCAGGAGCTGACATGGCAGTAAAGGAGTGGATGTGAACACATCAGGCATCATGTTACTGACATGGAAGCAGGAGCTGACGTGGCAGAACATGAGCGGATGGTGTGACAAGTCTACTGACTTGGCACAGGAGGTTGGGCGTGGAGATATGGAGAATATCCTCCTCGACAACTAAGGAAGGGAAGAACTTGACGAGCAAGCTATTCCCATAACAGAAGATCTGGGCGTTGAGATATGGTAGATATCCTCCACGACAAATAAGGACGGGAAAGACTTGGCGAGCAAGAGATTCCCAGAACCGTGATACTCGGAGATTCGCCTGCTAGGGTTTTTTGGGTCTTTGTATAAGTAGTCTAGAGTTAGCCACGAAATAGGTTAGCACTCTGGAATATCTTTATACGTGTGAAAACTTCGAAGCCGCAAAAAGAGCTTAGAAGGGTGAGTGGGGTTCTCTCTGATCTTAACGGTAGGGTTACAGAGTGCAGAGAGAATTAGCTTAGAGATTTATTCTTGTCGGGGTCAATTGTATTCGGGTAGAATAGGTTGAGTAATAGCCGGGATAAAGTTGGTCTTGTTGTAAAGAAACTTGTATCCAAAGAATAAATAGAAAAGTGTTTGCTTGGCGCGTTCCAAGCGTAATCAGCGTACTGTGTACCTCTATACCATTTACAATTGGTATCAGAGCAGTCGCCTGATAAAAGATCTGTTTATCTTTTGAACATGTGAGATCGTGGGATAGGGTATGGAGCGAGCACAGCAGTACGTTGCGGTAATCAAGCCGCTGATGCTTGATGCAGAGCACTATGGTTTCTGGAAGGTGTTCATAACGCAGTCAATACAGAGTATCAGCTTGGATGCTTGGATTGCGGTGGAAGATGGATGGAAGCCACCAACTATGGTGGATGGCGAAGGAGCTACTGTTTTGAAACCAAAACGGAACTGGACGGCTAAAGAGAAGGCAACAACAAGATCTAACACACAGGCCTTATCAGCGATCTTCGACTCATTGCCTGTAAACCTGTTTACAAAGGTGCAAGGGTGTACATCGGCAAAAGAAGCTTGGGATATTCTTCAAGTCACATTTAAAGGAACTAGTAATGTGAAGAGGACTCGTCTTGATACTCTTGCATCGTAATTTGAGAATCTGTTCATGAGGGATAATGAGTCGATTAATGATTTCAGTAGTAAGCTTAGTACTATGACTCAGGAAGCGGTAGTTCTTGGGGAATGCTACAAGGACAAAAAGCTGGTAAAAAAGCTTGATCAAGTGGCTGGGAAGATGCGGACCTATGAGCTACAGATGAAGAAGAAAGACAAAGTTGGTAAGCCTTCTGCACTGTATATTTCTGAATTTCTGATGAATATCAGTGAGGAGAATCTGGGTTTACTGGTCAAGAAGTCTTACAGAAAGCTGGGAAGAGAATTGCAGAAAGAATTCTTGACATTTGCCAAGGTTCATGCTAAGAAGGATAATGGGAAAGCAGACAAGCAGTGCAAGGAGTGTGATGGTTTTGGGCATTTCAAGGTTAAGTGTCCAAACTTAAAACTGAGGAACAAGCTGAGATGTGTTGAGTGCAAGGGCCTTGGTCACTTAAGATCTGATTGTTTTGTGAAATCAAAAACAAATCAAAAACCGTACATCACTTGGAGCGAAAGTAACACTAAGGAAGAAAGTGATGACACAGACGTGCTAAATAATCTTGTAGCACACATTGGAATCATCGAAGAAGATCATGGAGCTGAGTCAGAGGAGGATGATGATGATTTATCTTTGGAGGAATAACTGATGATCTTAGTGGAAGATGCGTTGTCCAAGAAGGAAGAAAATCAGATACTCGTGTCTGAAAATGCTAAACTGACAAAACAGGTTACTGTCCTAGAACAAGATTTGGCTGATGAAAAGTCAAAGTCTTCAGAGCTTACAAGGCAGGTGGAAGATCAGCTAAAACAGATCATGATGTTGAACAAAGGAATTAAAGACCTAGAAGAAGTACTGATGGCTGGTGGAACAAGTAATGTCAACTTGGGACTGAATAATCATGTTGGTACCAGTCAAGGTGGAAGACAACCTAGTCAACAGAACAGACGTCTGTACGATGTTAAGGGGGAAATGGCCAAACAAAGACCTGAGTTCACGTACTCGAAAAGCCGTGCAACTGGATGTTGGTACTGTGGCAAGCCTGGTCACTTCAAAGCTAGCTGTTATCGATTTCTTAGTCGAGTCAAGCAGGTTATACAACAGAAGAGGTTCTATAGGAACGACAAACAAACGAATCAAGAAACACGACTTGTACTGCAACATGGCATTCTTAACTGAAGAACCTACACAAACCAATGGAGACACCGTATGGTATTTCGACAATGGTTGTTCTGCACACATGACTGGAGATCAAAGCAAATTGCACAGTATTGTCAAACCCACAGCAAACAGAGTGCC